GATATCTGGATGATCCTCCAGAGTTTGTATCAGAGCTTGAATAGCTCCCTGCACAGGAATGTTTGTGTATATGGACACAACATCAAAGCTTATCAGCTTTGATCTAGTAATTGCACAAAATCATACGAATTCTTAACTGAATATAGCTAATAATTGGCAGTCCGCTAGCCTCATACTTCTAAGAATCATTGACTTAAAAATTTCAACCTTAGTCTTGCAACTATGGTTGGATGATGATCAGAGCCTGACATTAGCTTTTTGATAACTATGATTTAGGACCGGTATTGCGTATTGACGCTAACAGACACACACACACAAAGACACTCGAGTAAAAGTAGCAGGACTAGTAGGAAAGATAATTAGCCAAACCACTCTATATATATCAAGATTTTTGATATTATTTTGCATAATTGAGTTCATATAAGAGGTAAGGTAGAGCCGGATGGTCTTCTTGCCCTAGTGCTAGCGTAAGACTTTTACAAGAATGACACCCAGCTGTGATGATATCCATCGACGAATTTACTTTTCAATGGTAACATCAGCTCAACTCATATCATTGTGGGAGAATTCTACTACCAGTCCTTCATAACCTTATACGAAATATGATGAATACATCTCATATTACTGATTTACTGGTAGTCTCGAAACTCTACTCTAATACGAAAATAAGTAACGTAATCGATTGCTATAGCAAATATACGTTTGCTTCATCACCAAAGAACATGATATAGCAAAGAGGCCTGACCTTCCTTGAAATTCACTTATGCCCTTTGACTCAAGGTTACTTCTGGCAGTGTAGCCGAGTGCTTAGCGTGTCAAGCTTCCATCCTGCACTGTCGCGGTTCAACTCCCGCTGAGGGTGTTGATAAGACCGATGCGATGTCGAAACTGGAGTCCATTTCAGCCGGGATAAGAACAACTTTTGTGAAAGCAAGGCAATGTGAAATTCAATAGAAACGTCAGCTCAACTCATATCATTGTGGGAAAATTCTACTACCAGTTCTTCATCACCTTGGACGAAAAAGGGTGAATACATCTCATCAAATGATGGTCGAAAGCTCAGCCCGTTTTCACTCGAAACGAGGGAGGAAGTCTTGTGGACTGCGTCAACATGAACGTCGTATTAAAGCCAATTGGCTGCAGTACAACGAGGTTCATCTGTCCTCTTCTGGTGAGATCGACGTACGAATCTCTTCTTCACGTACTTTGATGCGAAATGAAAGTCCCCCCAACGAGCTTTGGCTTCCCTGGAATGATACAGTTTGCCGTGTGATGCACTGGCGCCCTTGGATGTGTAGGAGAGCCGTTAATGAGACGACTATATTCACGAGTCGGGCTCGAGTCCATCTGGGGATGATGTCAGACGAGTTCAGATAAGATA